CTTGTGGAGGCGCTGGTTGGGCGTGGGCTCAGGTGGCCCTAGAGCATCTCCGATTCGGGGTGATGGATATGTTTTGTTCTCCGCCAGGAGCAGCTCGTTCACCGAAAAGCCGAGGAACGAGGGGTGTGAGAAGCCGAGGGGGATCGAGGTGTTGAGAATGTCGAGCAACTCCACCAGTTCAGGCGAGTTGGAGATTGCGGACCAAGAGAATGACGCAAGTCAGCGGTTGATTGGGTTCAAGACGGCCAATTCCCTGGATTGATGAGGGGGGGGGGGGGGGGGAACAAGGGGTTGGCGGATTGGACTTACAGCCCCAGGGACCCTCGAGGAGGTGGGTGGTGATGACGGAGACGTTGAGCTCCCTGTTTCATGCATGTCAGCAAAGCACGACGTCGCACCACCCGGAACCACAATCAAGAACGTACTTGGCCAAGGCCACGACAGCCGCTGCGCCTTGGGCGTCGCTGCTGAAGGTGTCGTGGGCGATGCCCAGGCTCGTCGGCGTGCCCTCGTAGATGGCCGCCCTGGCCAGGTCCCTGAAGTTACCGATCTGCTCGGCAATGGTAAAGTTGGTGATGTCACGGATGGCGTACGCCCAGAAGACACGCGCGCCGCTGTCGACGCTGGCGCGCAGGCCCGCCTCGGCCGTCTCGTTCGACCACGTGTGCGACGCGTGGTCGAGCGTCGTTGTCACGCCGGCGTTGATGGACTCGTACAGACCGGTCAGCTGGCTCAGGTAGACGTCATCGGCCGTGTAGCGACCGGCCGAGGCATACTCGCCGTAGCGGCCAAAGTATTCCCACAGGCTCGTGTTGGAGCCGAGGGTGCGGTAGGCTGTCTGCCAGCCGTGACGGTGCGTGTCGATGAAGCCCGGCGTCAGGATCTTGTCCGTGGCGTCAATGATCTGGGTGTCGTTGCCCGATGGCCGAGGGACAGACTGGCCGGCGGCGTAGATGCCCGTGATGGTGTCGTTGGTGATCAGGAGGGAGCCATTGCGAGTGATGGTTGTGGAGGAGGAGGCATCGTCCCATGAGATGATGGTACCACCTTCGAACAGGATAGAAGAGCCGACCGCCGTGCTGGCGAGGGCCAAGAGGGAGAGAAGGTGAGCCATAGTTCAGCTGGCGGTGAGAATGTGAGCTGGGATCTGGCCTGGCTTGGCGGCTGATGTTCCTGAGCTGATCTTCCTGAGCAAACGGAACGCGCCTGGAGACGGGTTGTTCGTCCTCGACCGCACAACAGCGACATGGTCCCGTTTTATAGTCAGACCTTTCTCATCATCCACCCGCTCGTTCGTCTCATACCACTTTGCTCTCATGAGAAAACGAAAATGGCTCCGTCCACGGTTCGTCCACGGGGGCTCGCCGAATCAGCCGGCTGGCCTGGGATCCCTTGCTCCGTCAGCAGCACGCTGCAGAGTGACGCCTCCATCGTCAGTGGAGTTGACTCCGTCAATCTCTCTTGCGCATGTTCGCTATATGATTAGCGTGGGATGATGTCAGACCACGCGCAATCGGCCGTGTAGGTCCCGCGTGAGCTCGGCGGTTGTTCAAGGTGGGGGGAGGGGGAGCCTCGGGGGGTCACTGCAGCAAACGGGAGGGCTGGTCGCGATCCAAAGCGAATCGAGAGTGGTCAACATTGACCAGGTTTGCTGCTGATGCAACGGCGCCGAGCCGTCAGACGCATTCGCCGCGGACATCCGAACCGCACCATACCCAGGGCCTGGCAAGCCTGGGTCCCATCTGCGGATGACGAATGGATTTGTCGCCAAATTGAGAGGGGCTCCAAGTGGGTTTGCGCGCATGACTGACGGATGATTGAGCTTGGGCTTGCAGTACCGGCTCCACGTCGTTGGGAGCCAAGACGGCGGCATTTTGGGCCGTCTTGTACGATCATCTACCGACAAACTTGTATAACAAGCCTTCGGACTCGGAGCCCCCTTCTGGGTGGCGTGCCCGGGCTTTTGGATCTTTCCGTCTCTCGGCTCCCGGAGCTGTCAAGCCGCGACCTTGACCGTGCCATGTAACACAGGCACACGGAACCTATTGAAACTTAAATCCGCTCGCCGTTGGCTCTTGCATCTTGCGCTCGAGAGCTGCGTCGTCCCGGGCAGCATTGCCGGCCAAGTTGACGACATTTGCTGCCCTTCGCACGACCAATGTCCTTGGGTCGTACTCGTAGTCCTTATTTCCCTGCCACCCAAGTGTGCATCTCTAATGCCTCGCGCATGGGCCCTCTGGACACGGCTGGCCGTTGGCGCTCGCCCTTTTCAAAGCACCGCCTCTCAATATCGTCAGTCCCGCATGGCAGGTTGACAGTCGTACCCGAACGGACAGTCCTCTGGGCGTGGACACCGCGGTTGTGAATTGGGACGTCGGTCCGCAAGGACCGGCCGAGCAGGACCCCTGGCAGCACTCGAGCTCGTCATTTCACTCTCAATAAAGAGCGTCGCACTACTGGCATGTCGGAAACTTTTGTAGTCATCGTACCATATGCCGCACAGCGACGGGTCCAGTGAACTCGCAGTCCTGGCTGAACTTGCTGCTACAGGGGGTCGCCGGGGACACTGCAGGGAACGCAAATCGAACCTGAGCTGCGTCGCCTAAAGTAAGATCGATGATTAAGGTTGCTGCCGCTTATCGTTTGCAATATCCGAGCACTGGCCTACTTGTAACTCGGCAGCGTCTTGCACTTGTCGTTGGGGGGCGCCAGACAGGGGGCCCCGCTGTCGAAGTATGTGATTGAGTGCATAGTGACCCGAGAAAGCACGGTTTAACTTGATGATGTGACTTCTTTCAAGCGAGCAACATCCAAGCTCCCACTGTTCACCTCGATGAGCGGTGTAGCCTGCAACGAGACGTCTGAATAAATACCCCGAAGCATCCCTCCACCCGTTGGGCAAGACCCTGCCCTTGTTCATATCATTGCGCTTCGGGTGGGTTTCGTGTTGCTCAAGTAAACAACGGGCCATGGGGCCTTTGGAGACAAGTGGTTGACCTAGTCGGAGTGGATACAAGGTAAGCTGGGTGTGCTTTAAAACCAGAGAAGCGAAGCATGGTCAATGCTGTCCCCATTGTACTTGATTCGAGGAGCACCTTAAATTGGCTCTGTAGCGACCATGTAAAAGTCCTGAACAGACTCCCTGATCGTCAAGGGTGTGACGGCAAGCTTAGAAGCAATCGAGTTTGCGTCGAGCATGCAGAGTGAAGTGTTTTCTGGACAGATTTAGCCTTTGAAGTCGTGGGGACTGAGCTGCAGTCTGCCAGCATAAGTCTGCCAGGACAACTCTGGCAGCTGCAAAAGGGCAAGGCTTTTCGATAACAACAAAAAACATACAACACCGGGGATTCGCCGGTGGTCACCCACCCGACTACTAGTCCGGCCCTTACTTGGATCATGGTTCGGAGAAATGTCCTCCAAATATGGCAAACTTTTCTTCCAAGCATGGTAGAAGGGTCATGAACCTGCGGCCGGGTACTGTGTGTGTTTTGACTTTCGGCACGGCTGGTACTGATGACATCCAATGATCGTGTGCAAAAATCCCAGCGGCAATGGGCGGAGCCCGCCGCTTTGAATGCCATGCTCAATATCCTTGAGACTTTCTGAACCCCCGCCCATCAATGAACCCCCTGTTCAATTCAGGAAATTGCCTCGATCCCAAACTAGCCATTGAAGTCGCGCTTTTGACTACCTTATTTTGCATGGTGAAGGAGAGCATAGAAAGTCACGTGATCTTTCACATATTTCCCAAGGAAATGTTGATCTCCGACGTTTCCTCAGCTTGGCCTACACGAATGAACGCACACTTCTAGGCTTATCACGTGACCGCGTCCCAACCTAGGCCGACTCGTCCATCGACGGAGCAGATCTCCACCGTTCAGTGTCACTTTATGGAGCGGACAGATGAGCCCTCATCTGCTTGTTTCAAACAATTTTCCTCATCAGCAGCCATAGCAACCTTGAAAATCTGACCGGGTGAATGACTTGATCTCTTTTCCTATGGCAGCACAAGATTTCAGAGGGCTGACTAATAAACCTGCAGAAAAGCCAGGGTGGGGAACGATGCATATTGCATGTACGGTATTATGCATACATAGCGCCCCATATCTTGCATACTGGCTTAGCAGGGCCATGTGGAACCGTAGCCATACCGTTTCAGCACCAAACGTCACCGTTTAAACACCGTCTCCATATCAAATGATATGTAACCCACCCCACCCTGACAAATCACAATGTGCTTTGTCACCTCATAGCGAGAGGTTTATATGTAAAACATCTAGGATCAGAGCCATCATCGATCTTTTCGTAGCAAGAAATTTGCAATGTCTTATGCATAAGGAGGGGGGACAGAAACAGTAAAACGCCTTCATCTCCGACGTATGCAATGGGCACGATAACTGAGTGAAACCTCAAATATACTGTTAATGCATAGTGGTCGTGTCTCACTTCAGTTAGGCAAGAGTCTCAATGGTAAATACTGTAAGAAACTGACCTCCCACACCACTGGGCTATTCTCTAGTCACTGCCATCTTGGGAAAATTTGGGCGGACGCTTTTCGTACTAGTCTGCAAGAACTCAATGTTGTTTATCTGGGTTGACTACTGGAGTCCTGCTACCAGGATGAATGAATTCAACCATGCGCCACTTGCCTTTAGCGCAAATGTTATTCTAGTCTCTCACATATACCTACAGCCCACTACAGCGAGCAGCATTGCTGAAGTCCGCTAGCAGATAACTGAACGACGACGAGGAGTTCAACATGACGATAACGATCCCCGAGTTGTGACGCACCTGTGCACGACCAAAGAGGAACTGGGCTACGGGCTCCAAGAACATCCGGAGCCAGGCTAATCACGAGTGACTCATTGAGTGTTTCATCACCAAACTGCGGGTCAAGGAGTAGAAGTGGCTCTCGAAGCTCTCACCTACGCTGATGAACTGGGGTGCGATTTTGCGACGGAGGCAGGAGCATGACCTTGAGCCACACAAGTCAGGGCCCAACGGGAGCGTGGACCCGCACGGCCAGCCTCTCGTTCTCGGTGGAATCAAGAGCATGGTATACAGGGTCAATTCCGCATGCCAGTCGCTTCCGTCATGACATTCAAGGAGATCCGCCTTTTCTTAGACTGCGTGATGATAAGGCAACCGAAAGTCTCGGATTTGGTTGGCCACGATCGTCCGTTCGTTGTGAAGAGTCATCCTGCTCGGCTTCGAGGTCGAAGGTGCGCTGTCGTTCATACGGCCAACCAATGCTTGGTTGAGTAGGATATGCCTCTTGTGATATGCCGGGCGATATTGTGATAGGAGCGTAGCGCGCATTTAGATGGTCTCAATCGAACTTTCGTATGCAAACCCGCGCTGAGGGATCTGGCGGATCTGCGAGTGGGCTTCACGTGCTTTAAAGCGGCCACGTACTTGACTTTGTGACGTCGATCTTGATGGCCCGTCATTGGACACCACCTTGATCAGTAGTGTCCAAAGGAGTAGCCGCACTGTCAGAGAGCCATGCATTTTGTAGGCGACGTGGCGGAAGGGTGAACAGGGCGGCTCAAGCTCGCCGCCTTACAGGTCGAAATGTCTCGTTCAGCGCAGTAAGAGTGCCAACGTGCACACTCGCGTACAAACTGAAACTATGCCAACTCCTACTACAACTGAAAAATACCACGCAAGCCAGCCTAGTGATAAGCTAGCGTGGCTTCCATGTGTAAGGCAAGGGCATGAGGCGTCAGGTCTCAGGCGCGACTAGCATGTCGCCCCCGTCGTTCACAAACTGTAATACACTGCCCGTCTCGTGCCGCCCACCGTTCGTCTTATCTTCACAACAGCATCCTCCCTGTCTTGCTCCACCGGCCAGGCTCTGTTCATCATTTCATTCCTAGCATCCGGCATCCGGCACCCTGTTTAACATTCATTTCAGACCTTTCTTCTTGTGCCTGTCTCACAGGCGCTCTTCTGGACCTCCTGCATGCTCATTTTCTAGCAAACCTTGAGCTATCCGAACGCGAAATCCCCCTTCTACCCTTGCCTTTGGCACACTGCGACCGCACGATGTCTTCTGTCTTTCCTCTAGAGTCCTAGCCGCCCACGATGGTACCTAGGGCGACTACCGTTCGC